ATCGAGTTCTGGGAGGGATTGTATCAGAAGAGGTCCCCCGCGTCCCGCAGACGGCTTTATGCAACTAACTACGAGCAGCCTGCTTGAGGGTTGCAGACTAACACGAGATGGCCATGACCAGGCGTCCGAGCTGCCGGCCATGTATGCTTCAAAGGAACGTCTGGCTGGGCAAATCGACCGTCTGTCAGAGCAGATTGCAGCTCAGGTTCGGCCAATATGGAAGGCGATGTCGCCCTTTGAGGTGCTGATGAACGCGCCGCTGTACAAATGCGACACTGGGAGCAACTACGACGAGCACTCGCTTCAACAATTTGCTCGCCAGGAACGATGCAGTCAGATTATCAAGTATTAAAATTAATTCTTTTTGAGCTCGGGCACGCGCCAGCTAGCTGACCTTTCCCTGCGCCCGCCCCGCCCCCATCGGGGGCGGGGGCCCGCACGGGCCTCAACTCTAGTTTGCGTGAAAGGAAAGTACACGGACACGGTAGCAACCACAGCAGCCACACCACACGTCCCGAGATATGCTCGCGGCCGCAGCGATAAACCTCCTCGCGCTCAGCTTGCTGCCGCCGCAGTCTGTGCTGCCCTCGGCACAGCCGCTCCGCCGGGCACGCTCTCCGTCAATGGATGACTTCCCCCAGACTCGCGCTGCTGACCCCAACGTGATGGAGTCGACAAGAGCGAACTTTGCGTGCTCCTTTGAGATTCCCAAGAAGGGTATCTCTGAGTATGGGACCGTGAATATGAACTTTAAGCCGCTGCTGGCCACCGACAGCGAGCTTGTCGTTGTGCGGAATGAGCTCCCACTGGAGCTGTCGGCGGAGAGGGGCGCGTTGTCGCGGTCACCAAGGACGGCAAGGCCGACGGCGGCGAGCGGGTAGGCGACATCCTTCGCTTCACTCTCAAGTGGAACGGGCCAGAGCCGTCGATGTTCGACGTGTGCAAGTGCATGGAGAGGCGGCTGGAGAACTCCTTCGACCAGGTGGTGGCTGCCCTCGTCACCAACGACGGGTCGTACGCCGATGAGATCGTCCTGATCTTCGAGCGCCCGGTTGGATGATGCACTCTGGTACGAGCAGGAGCATGTGATGGAGGTTGCCACTATAATGCCGACGTGTGTGAGCGGGTGTCCGAGGTGTCCGGTGCGCGGCACGGGTTGAGTAGTCCCTATCTGCCATTCTGCCTAAGGCTAGCCCTTTCCTCGTGTTTGTATTTATACACCAAAAAATGTACACGTCACTCGAGTTCAGATTTCGGTCGTGATGACCGAACTGCCGTTTGAGCGCGCGAATGCCGTCGGCGGCAGCCCACGCGCGAGCGTGCGGAGCGCCTCGAGGTAGCCCAGAGCCCCGTCTGCGTGGCCGCCGGGAGAGATCGGCGGCGGCGGCGGCGGCAGCGGCAGCAGCACGAGCGACGCGGCGGCAGAGTGCCGCCGGAGCTCGGCGTTGACCGGGCCGAGGGCGTGTCCCGCAAAGGGCCATCGCGGCGGGTAGGATGGCTCCACCTCGGCCGCCGCCGCAGGGAGCTCCGCCTCGACCTGCACCAGCTCGGCCTGCAATCGCGCTCGCTTGAGCCACGCGCGGACGGCGGCGGCGTGCGCGGCGGCGGCGGGCGTCTTGAGCTCACCCCTGTGGCAGAGCTGCAGCACTCGCAGGCGCGGCGTCCGCGACGAAGAGCCGCAGCCCTCCCTGGCCTCTGTCGGGGGCGGTGCCGGCCCCATCTCGGCGTCGGCGGCGCCGCTGCGCGCTTCGGGCGGGTCGGGTCGCGACGAGAAGAGGGCGCGTCGGAGTGCGCCGGCGAGAGAGCCTACGGGGGCAGCGCCCCAGGCTGAGCCGTTGCGGCGCAAGAGCAGCCCGAGAGGGAGAGGGCCCAGCGCTCTCACCGCGCTGCTCGGAGGCGGAGGCCGCGATGGCGCCGAACTGTGCGGAGAGGTCGAGGTGCGCCACGGCCTCGGCGACGCCAGCATGGGGCGCCACCGCCTCTCCACACTCGCTGTACCCCGGCGGCGCGCCAAAGAGCCACACGTCGACCGACCCCCCTGCGGCGCGGCCGACCGGCTCCTCTCCCGCCGCCGCCCCTCCCCCCAGAAGCAAGACGTGCCTGCGCAGCTCCAGCGCGTCTCCGAGAGCGCCCACCAGCTCCTCCCCCGCCAGCTCCTCCCCCGCCCCCTCGGAGCCACTCGGCGCCGCGTCGCGCGCGGCCGCCGCGGGCAGCGGCGCGACGAGCGTATCGACGCGCATCGCGCCGACGCCGGCGCCCAGCAGCAAGTTGAGCACCCCCAGCCGGGCGGTCGGCGAGACGCTGATCTGCTCAAAGGCGCGCAGCCCGCACGCGCGGCGCGCGGCGGCAAGCTGCGCGCGCAGGGCCGCGCTCGCCGCACCGAGCGTCTCGAGGCCTCCGCCTCCGCCTCCGCCTCCTCCTCCGCCGATTGCGGCGAGGGGGAGGGTGCGCCCGCCGACGACGAGCCCGGAGCCGCTGAGGCGGTGGGCGAGCCGGAGCAGGAGCGACGCGCCGCCGGCCGTGGGCTGCGGTCCGGCCGCCTGCGACGGGGGCACGAGGAGCAGCAAGCTGGGCCGCCAGTACTTCGGGTCCGCCGGCTGCGCGTCGAGCGTGAGCAGGCAGGAGCGCGCGGTGAGGAAGGCGACGGCTTGCGAGATGGAGGGCCATCGGCCGGACGGGACGGTGGCGGAGATGTAGACGCCGAGGGCGAGGGCGAGGGCGAGGGTGAGGAGGGCGAAGAGCGGGTTGAGGAAGAACATCGAGCCTGGAGAGCGGTGGCGGGGCGG